CTTATCTCGGATTCCGATATCTTCGGAGATGACCTCGGCTTCTCCGAGATTACCTCGGCTTCTCCGAGATTACCTCGGCTTCTCCGAGATTACCTCGGCTTCTCCGAGATTACCTCGGCTTCTCCGAGATTACCTCGGCTTCTCCGAGATTACCTCGGCTTCTCCGAGATTACCTCGGCTTCTCCGAGATTACCTCGGCTTCTCCGAGATTACCTCGGCTTCTCCGAGATTACCTCGGCTTCTCCGAGATTACCTCGGCTTCTCCGAGATTACCTCGGCTTCTCCGAGATTACCTCGGCTTCTCCGAGATTACCTCGGCTTCTCCGAGATTACCTCGGCTTCTCCGAGATTACCTCGGCTTCTCCGAGATTACCTCGGCTTCTCCGAGATTACCTCGGCTTCTCCGAGATTACCTCGGCTTCTCCGAGATTACCTCGGCTTCTCCGAGATTACCTCGGCTTCTCCGAGATTACCTCGGCTTCTCCGAGATTACCTCGGCTTCTCCGAGATTACCTCGGCTTCTCCGAGATTACCTCGGCTTCTCCGAGATTACCTCGGCTTCTCCGAGATTACCTCGGCTTCTCCGAGATTACCTCGGCTTCTCCGAGATTACCTCGGCTTCTCCGAGATTACCTCGGCTTCTCCGAGATTACCTCGGCTTCTCCGAGATTACCTCGGCTTCTCCGAGATTACCTCGGCTTCTCCGAGATTACCTCGGCTTCTCCGAGATTACCTCGGCTTCTCCGAGATTACCTCGGCTTCTCCGAGATTACCTCGGCTTCTCCGAGATTACCTCGGCTTCTCCGAGATTACCTCGGCTTCTCCGAGATTACCTCGGCTTCTCCGAGATTACCTCGGCTTCTCCGAGATTACCTCGGCTTCTCCGAGATTACCTCGGCTTCTCCGAGATTACCTCGGCTTCTCCGAGATTACCTCGGCTTAACTACCAGGGCACGTGGCACCTCGGCTGACACGTCGGCGTCACCATGCCACGTGTTGGTATTCAAAAAATATGTCCCCACAGATACATGTATAAGATTTGATCTGTGCAAATCAAATTTTTGCAGTTAAAATAATTAGAAAGAGGGAAAAAAGATATGCAGAGAAAGAAATAGAGAGAGAGAGAGAGAGAAAAGAGAAGTGGATAGATGAACAAATAGAGAGAAACTTTGAAAATGGTGTGAATTTGATTTGGATAGATAAGGGTAAAAAATTTGAACAAAGAGGGAAACCTTTTCAACATATAAGTAAATTTTTCAATAGATAAGAAAAATTTTCAACAAGAAGGGAAAAATTTTGAGCAAATAGGAAAATTTTTGAACAGATAGTCAACGAAAGTTATAAAAAAAGTTAACAGATAAATTCAAGGATAAAATGATAAATAAAATGTCTTTCAAAACCAATAAAAGGACTTCTTATCAAACTATTTCATAAATGGTGGATCTTTCACCAACAAAAAAAATTCATTGGACCGAATGCCTTAGACACTCTCTAAATTGAATTTATCACCAATTTACTCTAAAAAATATTAAAATAAAAATAAACTCCATTATGAAAAATATATAATGTTGAAATAAAGAGAATTGGAGAAAATAATATTTTAGTCTTTGGCCAGATATATTTATAAGTTTTCCTATTTTTTATTATAGTGGAGATAATTAAGATGATATGAATCCAGACACCTATTAACAAAGCCCTTGTTAACAAAGCCCATCTTCTATTGTAATCCCACTTTAGTTGCATGATATTGGGGTTCTTTTCTTTCCTCTTCTTTGAAGTACTCTCGAAATCAGAAGCATTTAGACAATCATTACAAAAATAACACCAGTATGGAAGAATCTATAACTATTAAGATTCTTTATCCTATCCAGTCCGTCCAACCAAACGTTGGATTCACTGAAAATAGTCCTATCCAGACATCTAATCCCATGAAAAAACAAACACAGGATACATATCCAATCCGACCAAATAGTCCGGGGGATTCACAGTCCCAGGACTCAAGTCCGACGGATTCTAATCCCCCCATTTCCAGTCCGTCCAATCAAACACACCCTAAGATTCTATTTGGTTCATGAATTGGAAAAATTTTGAAAAAGAAAAAAGAAAAAGGAAAAAAAATAAGTAAAATATGAATGAAATATAATTACATTTTACTCATCTTTTTTAATTCCTTTTCTAAATCTCCATCCAAATCAATGAACAACGTAGTTGAAGGATATATTTTAGGTATCATTTGAGTCAATTTATTTTTGTGATTTATTTTTGTCTTTTTGAATGTTTTTAAATTTTGAGCTTTTTTTTTTCTTAATTTTTTAGGTCTGTCTAGTTGATATCAATCTAAAATAAAATTAATAAAAAAATTGAGTTAATTTTAAAAAATTTCACTAATGACAAAATTAAGTGTGATTTTATTTTTAAAATGCTTACAAAAAATGGTTTTTTTTTTGTCTTTTTTGAATTTTATTAAAATAAAAATTCAGGCTTTTCTACATCTTTTAGGTTTCTTGTTTTCAAAAACGTCTTATTTGGGATGAATCTAATATATATATGCGAATATACATGTTAGATTTACTGGCATATTTCATGGCTTCCCACCTTGACTGGAGAAGTTAGCCAAAGCCCAACATGATGGAAAAGAGTTCATCTTTGAAATAGTAAGCCCGGAAAGATTGATATGATACGGAGTAGTGTGCTCCACATTGGAAGTGAATCTGACTCAATTTGAAATACAGATATTTTGTTCATATCATTTTAGGGGAAATAACAATCATCTTCTTTGGTTTATTTCACACAAAAATAAATTTGAGTTTTTATTTTTATTTTTTTGTTTATTGATTTTTTTAATATTTTAAGTAATTTTTATTTTTATTTTTTAGATACACCTAATCTAAATATACTTAAAAAGTATAATATTTTATATATATTTTTTAAATTCACCAAATACAAAAAAAATTAAAAAATACAAAAATTCAATACATTATTTTATTTTGTTGTATTGAATGGATTTTTTTTTTATTTTTTTAAATATATTTAGATTAAATTGATCTAATCTAGTTATGATGTTGAAATACAAATAAAAAATCATATTCATATATAAAAATTTATACAAAAAATATCATAAAAGTGTAAGATAGTCATTTAGAAAACTTTAGGACATGATATCAGCAATTCATGAGGCAATTTGTAATCAGATTACAAATTTCAAAAAGGGGAATATAATTTTTTAAATGTGATGGAAAAATCTGTATTAAACAAAAATCTCAAGGGGGTGTTAGTGTAATTTATCCAAATAAAAATAAACTATATTAAAAAGTCAACTCTTAATAAAAAAAAAGTCTTAGCCATTTTCTAGCCTGTGAGTGATGATTTGCCAAGTTTTCAAAAAGTCAAAAATTCAAAAAATTACTAAAAAAATTAAAAAGTTATCACTATTCACCAAAAGTAAAAAAGTATGGCTACACAACTCTCAATCTTAATTTTTCCTTACACACTAATACAATTTTTTAATATACATTTTTTCATAAAAAATCAAAAAATTAACCCAAATATCCATATTTTTTCTCTTAACTTTTTAGTCAAAAAAGACAAAAAATATATTTATTTAGAACACTCCAAACAAGTTTTCCTTCTGTATGATGGCTTTTGATATGTGGTGAGGGAGGGGGAGTCCAGCCATTTGAGAAATTATTTAATATTTTTTGAGTAATATTTTATTTTATTTATTAGTTGACAATTTGTTTATTATCTACAGTTTAGACTAATAACTTTTAATTTAGAGTATCACCTGAACTTATTTTAAAAATAATGAATAATTACTCTGTTTATGTAAAAAAACATTTTCTTGAAGAAATTTTTTTTATTTGCTTGCCTATTAATGTACCAATAATTGTATTAATGATGGCAGCAGCGACAATCTTGATAGTTCTGACAGTGATAGTATAGTGGTGAAAATGATAGTGAGGATAATAATGCAATTACATTAGGATAATTTTTTATTTTAGCTAGAAAGTTAAAAGTTATTAACAAAAAATTAACTCTTATTTCTATTTTTTTACACGTTTTAAAAAAAAAATCAAAATCAACTAAAATAAACGTCCTTGGCTTCACTCCATGGAGTAATCCCCGTCTCATACCTAAGGGGTTCCGTTGATGGGGGATCATGCAAAGCTGTTGATTATAGGGTTGTTTGGAATATTCTAAATAAGTGTATTTTTTAACTTTTTATGAAATATGAGTTAGATTTAAAATAATGTTGTAAAGAGGCGATATGACTTAAATAAATTGATATAACTTAAATAGAATATTGATTTTTTGATTTTTATAAAGAATGCCAAACCTAACCTATGTAATGCAAAATCTCCAGTTTTATCTATTAAAAATAAAATAAAATCAGCATTGGGTGTTTTCAAAGAGAGACCTTGATCTTATCATCACTAATGAACAACCAAACACAAACAGGCCTCACTCCAAAGTGAGATTTCGACAAATATAAGGACAAACGATTTTTGAAAAACGATTTAACTATATTCTAAGCTAATTGGGGTGGAGTCAACTCTATTTGGATCAATTAATCCACATTAACATATAACTGCACATGACTTGCATTGTTCCCCATCAAAAACAGACAACAAATGAAAGTTTTCATGTGATTGTTACATTTGACTTGAATAGAAAACTAATTCAGAGTTTGCACCAGCTGCCACCAACCACCGCCGACCCTCTGACAAGCTCCAGCCACATTCCGGTTGGTCACACCATCCGAGATAAACTCTTCTTCATATTTTATCTCTTCATATCCATCCATATTTCTCTTATGAGTCTCAATTTGAACTCATTTCGATGATTTAAACGGTCTACTTCCTAAACTTCTCAATAAAAGTTAACCATATAAAAAATTAAATTTATCAAATAACAATAAACACAAAAATAAATCATGTTTTATTTTACAAAATAAATATATTAAGTTTACAATCTTATTTGCTATATTCATTTTATAAAACAAAATGTGATTTGTTATTATATACATAGATGTTCGATGAAATTAATTTTTTACATAGATAACCTTTATTACAAAACCTACAAAACAGACGGTTTGAATCATCGATGTGAGTTCAAATTTGGATTCACAAGAAGAGTACGGATGCATGTAGAGAGATGCAAGTATGGCAGGAGCTTATCGCCACACCACCGACCTCATGACTTCCAACAACACACCATCGGCCACCAAATCCATCCACCCTCCACCTCTGACAATCACCTCTGGTAACCCACAAAACATGAAATTAACAAAATTACCAAACGACACCAAGTAAAGAGATGCAACTATTCAGACTAATCCTTACCTTTCGGAATACAAGATAGGGTTCAATAGTGATTTATCAAAGCCAAACCAGTCAATAAAATAACAATTGCAATTTAACCTACCTGTTTCGCCTCACTGATAATATCAAAAAGAGAATACAAGGATGAAAGTTCAATCAATTACAACTAGTTACCAATAGCATGAAAATGAGAAAAACAAAAGGGAACTGCAGAATACAATGATAATGAGATAGCTAAACCGAAAGTTCAATACTAATTGAAACTTGTAACGTCGGGAAGCAGAGAAAATATGGCTGTCGATTTATGAAAGTCGAAACATGATCCTGTGTAGCGAAGGCAAATTTAGCGAAAGCAAAAAGTTGGATTTATCCCTCTCCCTGTGCACCAAAATACTTTAACCGGCCAATGAGGATTAGAAAATGTAGCTTTTCAATCAATCTTCACCGATGAGAAAAGGTAATGGACAAAGTAGAAGGATGTAAGGAAGCCAATAGTGCCGGTGGACAGCATAATTGCAACTGCTATGATCAGTGAATAGCCCAGATAAAGGGTAGCTGAAATGGGCCCGCTCAAACTCTGAAGATCAAAAACCAGGTAATTGATGGAGTAGAGGAACACGTAAAGAGCAACAGAACCCGATGAATAGAACGCTTTCCACCACCACTGCCAATCCTCAACACAGAGATGCATGTAGGTGAGGACTACAGAAACTTCAGCACATACAGTAACCAACAATAAAAGGACAACGAGCAAAAATCCAAAGACATAATAGAACCTCCCGAGCCAGATGCTAGAAAGGATGAAGAAAAGTTCAATGAAGAGAGTTCCAAATGGAAGAGTCCCAGCCCCCAAAACAAGAAGCCACGATGGGTATTTGCGAGCAGGGATTTCTCTCGGGATTTGGTTAGTTCGTACCGGGTATTGAATAGGCTCTGCTCGCGTTCCTAAGAATCCTCCCAAAAGGGTGAGCGGCACTGAAATGCAGAACCAGAGCGATAGCAGGATAAAATACAGGGAAATGGGAATAGCACCGGTACTATTGCTGCCCCAGAGAATAAAATTCAATATGGTGAGAATAACAAAAACAATTCCAGGGAAAAAGCATGCCACGGACCAGCAAACCGACCTCCAACCATGTGAAGTCCCCTTGATCGTACTCCATAGGCGTACACCGGCATAACCAGAGGCAGTCCCCAAGAAAAGATAAAGAATTATCATACCAGTCAATAACATTCCTCGAGAGGCTGGTGACATGAAACCTAAGGCAGCAAATACAATAGTCACAACAGCCATCCCTGTAATTTGAACCCCATCTCCAACCATCACACAGAGTAGCTTCGAGTGATTTGGTTCTCTGAACACATCCCCAACAACAAGCTTCCACCCTGAAAGCTCTTCATTCATTTGTGCTTGGGCTTCCTTGTCCAATTCCTCATACCTTGTCAAATCCCTTCTCACCGTCCGTAAAAATATAACAAAAACAATACCAGCTAAGAAAAAAATCACCATTAGTGAGTTTAGGATGGAGAACCAGTGGACACGGGAACCTTCCATCTTCAGGTAAGCATCCCATCTGGATGGCCATCGAATGTCGCTCTTCACAAATTCGACCTCATAAGTGAATGATACCCTCTCTTGCTCCTTTATTATCTGAGCCTTGTCAAGCTCCACCGGGCAGGTCACAGTAGTGATATTATCATACATATGAAGTTTTGACATTTTATCGAGGTCATATTTGACACTGCAAGGGACAACCTCAAAACCAACTATCTCATATCCAGAAGCCTTTTTCTTATCAGCTTCTGAAATTACACCCATACCCTCTTCTCCAGTACCAATTATCTGCACACCAGTCGCTTCATACTCATGAACCAGAACTTTGAACTTGAGGTGATTGATGATGTAATCTTCTTTACTACTGGGAGGTGTATACCCAACAGGAAACCCAGTCCATTGAATTTTCATTCCATTTTGTTGGGCATACCTCATGGCAGGCAAGTTATCCAAAATCATATTTACTTGATACAGATCACGAGTTCTCTGTTTCAAAAGCTTTACATCGTGCTCACTTAACGGACTTGTAGTGCAGAGAAATACAGTTTCATTGACGTTCATTCGAAAACGGTAGGGAGAGTTGTCAATCTGGTCTCCCATAAGTAGTTCTCCAAGATTCTCAGCACTTTTCTTTATTTTAAGGGGTTTGCAGTAAGGGAGACTGTAATAACTGAAGGGAAGCTCAGTTTCAATAGAGGTCAATGAATTAACTTTGGCATATATTTCTTCACCAGTTGAATACGTGTGCATGTAGCTTCCTGGCAGATAAAACCCATTGCAGGCATGCAAAGTAAGAACCATATAGATGAAGGCCACCCAATATGTTCTTTTCAAGATCAATGAATAAGCCATTGTGTTTGAAAAAGGAACTTGGAGCAGATCCCTGAAGCTATTCTTGATGTAAACTACAAACTCAGGCTTATTCAACATCAATCTGCAGAATTAAATTTTTGTGTCACTTTTTAAGTCCCAGTCAATCTAACAAGTATAAAGGCATACACAACCATCCCTTCCCCCAACACCCACATGCACACAAATTCGGACCACGTAGAACACAATGAGGATGTAAAATTTTCTTGACGGAATAAGCACAACCAAAAAAAAAAAAACTGATTGTTATCAACTTAAGGATGTGTTGATGAACAATTACAAATTAAACTATTCATATTTCAGATAAACAACAATATCAATACATTGCCCCCAATTTTACTTATTTATTTATTTTTGGTAAAAAGGGTAATAGGGGATTTGCCAGATTATCAGAAATTGGTTCTGGGTGGCCCCAAAAGAGTCAAAAACACTTCATTGATTGTCGTGACCTACGTTGTACCGAGTTATTTACATATAGATACAAAATCACATGTATGCACAAATATATATTATCAATACAAATTAAAGCATGATCTGAACTATCAAAATCTACAGATCCATCAACAAACAAGAACGCTGAAGACACGGAAAATTCAATAGCCACCACTCCAAATCTAGGGCAGATCAGAGAACTAGAACAAATTTCTATAACTCTTAAAAACAATACACAAATCAGACGAACACGAAAACAAAAAAAATAAAGCGAATAACAAATTTGCACAAGCAGATCAATAGATACGTATGTATCTGTATGTGTAGAGAGAGAGACAGAGAGAGAGATTGAAGGCGTACCAATGGTAGATCTGGTGACTCGGAAACAGTCATGCTCAATTCGACTCAGTTCGTACCGAGATCGAGAGTTACAGAAATATCGACAGAAATGCAATATATGTAAGCCCCTCTCTCTCTCTCTCTCTCTCTCTCTCTATATATATATATAGATATATATTCGAATTAACTCGAGTTAGATTTTACATCTTAGCGTTAAGTAACCCCTTTTCTTTTTTCTTTTTTCTTTTTCTTTTTTTTTTTTTTTTGTTTTTTAAGAGAGGCCTGGAGTCATCTTGAGCCGGGAGGGGAGGGGGCGAGTCGGGTCGGGATTGAATTTGCATTGTATGGTATAAAAATATTGGATAAATTATAAACACATCTTCAAATTTTTTTAAAATATAAATTGTTCTTTGTAATTTAAAAAATTATAAATATCCTCTTGTCGTAATTTTTTATTTAACAAAATTAACTGAAAAAATAAAATTCATAATTACTCTCCTATATAATAATAAAAGTATATAAAGTATATAAATTATTAATTAAAACATATTTCTAATATTATTAAAAACTGCTAATTGACTTGATAATTTATTGATGAAAGGGACGATTCATTATGAAATTAGAAATCTCAGGGAGTAGAATGTAATTTCCAAAACTACATGAGACGATTCGTATTTTAATCAAACGTCAGGAGATGTATTTGTAATTTACCCAAAAATATTTCATTTTTAAGTCCAATTTAGGTCAGCATGACATTAAATTTAGGCCTTATTTGTCATAATTTTAAAAAGTTAAAAAGTCACTATCTTATTTAAGTCACATCATATTATTTAAATCACATCACTTCAAATCCAATCTATACCCAACTCATATTTCATAAAAAGTTCAAAAGTACACTTATTTAGATCATTCCAAACCACCCTTTAATCTAATAGTCGTGCTAGAAGCCTCAAATTTTCGAGATTCGAATGTCTCGAATTATGTTTTTTTTTAAGGGTGATTATATGTAGGGATTTGCTAAAAAACTAGACGTCTCGCACCAACTCAGCTTGTGTTGTTTGATAATATGAGTAAGTTGGATTGGACTGGTTTGGTATAAAATTGACTGATCAATTAGGCTGTTGGTTAAAATTTGTTAATTTTATACATTTTTGTACGAGTCTCTACTATATTTTTATTTCAAATCAGAAAGACTCGGAGGAAATTGAAATGGTTTTAATTTTAATTTCCTCTGGGTCTTCCTGATTTGAAATAAAAATATAATATGAACTCGTACAAAACTATATAGAATTAAAAAATTTTAATTAGCAGCCTAACTGATCAGTTAATTTTATCACCCAACCAGTCAAACGTAACTCACTCACCTTATCAAACTACACAGGTTGAGTTGGTGCAAGATGTCTAGTTTTTTAGTACATCTTTACACATAACCACCCTTGCAAAAAATAAAAAATAAAATAAACCAACACAGCCAAAAAAAAAATACAAAACAAAACAATTTCAAGGCCTTTGAGTCTCGAAATTTCAAGGCCTCAAGCATTTTTCTTAATCTAATTAAGTCAAGACCGGTCTTAAAAAAATTTTAAAATCTCAAACTCTCTCACTCAACCAATAAATCAATAGATATGACCTAGATATTAATTATTTAGATTTTTTATTTATTATTTAAATTTAAAATTCTAATAAGATTCAATAATAAAATAAATATAATTTTTAATTGAAATCCCAAAAAGTGAAGTGCTATATGTATATTTTTTTTTGTCCTCTATATTTTTTATTTATAAAATAATATAATTATAATTAATATTTTATAAATGGACAGGCTAAACTAAAACTATTTTTTCTAAATTTAGTCAGAATATTAAATGGCTATAAAATCTCAATTTAGTCTACCCTTATCGATTTTTTTTTGGGGGCAAATTATTCACAAGTCATTTTTCAAAAGTGTATATTCTATTTAATCTCAAAACTTTTTAGATAGACCCAAAAGTCATATACCCATTTATCTTATCCCTTTTCCTTATACCTTACTTCTTCTATGTATCTCTCTTTTTCTGATATTGGGGACGCACACGCCCACGTCCACGACCACGCATTCATTTTTTTCTTTCTGTTTCTAATCTACAGTCATCGACGATCGACGACCGACGACCACCATTGATTGAGGTTTACGGGCAACCACCGAGTACCAACTCCTTGTTTTGTGCTCGCCGAAGGCGAAATAGATCAAATTTAAGTAAATCTACGTTAGATCCAGCTAGATATAAACAAAAAAATAGTTGTTAGAGTACAATTTGTCTCTTTCCTTTGATCACTCAGTTTTAATTTTTTTTTTGGTACTATACACTTCAATTTTTGTGTTATAATGGAGAAATTTTTCAAATTCTAAATAAATTGTTTTCAAATTTTAATTACGGTTTCAATTTTTTTGATGCTGTATTGAATCATTCTTTAAAACTGTAAAATTTTGTAGTTTTATAACTGTAACAACCCTGACACATGACTAACGTATAATCCATGATTAAGTATGCCTAGAAAGTAATCAAGATGAAATCCTGAATTAATTACATGTGCATTGCATTATTAGAGTCTCTATCTGTTCCTCGTAGGAATATCTGTTTTCATTTCTATTTTGTTTTGTGAATTGAAGACCTTATCGGCATCCGATCGCGAAATTGACTTGATATATGTATTATTTAGAAATTTTAGAATTTTTTGGTAGGTTTAATTAAAATTCAATTCGGGGCGATTAAATTAGATTATTAATGTCCAATTGAGTAGCTTAATCAAAATTTAATTAAGCCACTAACTAAGCTATATAAGGCCCATATGAACTCATTAGGTCGCTTTACACTCTCCTATCACCCTACTTTGAAGAGAAAACGTGGGAGAGAGAGAGATAGAAGAAAATTGAAATCAAGAGCTAGGAAAATGGGGAATTGTTAGGAATTATTGGAGACTTGCAAAGAATTTGGGAGTTGAACCTTCTTTACTTGTGCAATTAAGGCTCTACGTAAGAATTCAACCCTTAGATTGTATATTATGGATGCTTAAATCATGAATTCAAGAGAATTGAGAGGATTACACAAAAATTAAGCTAGAATTAGAGAAATGAACTCAAACTATGCATGCATGTATATTTCATAGCATTTTGAAATTATTTTCCCAAGAATTTCCTCATGCATGTTACTAATTCACTTTAGTTTTGGGAATTCATCAAGTTTCATGTCATTTAGTGTCATTAGATCATGTTTTGGAAGTTTTGAAGTCAAGGCAATACATGCATGTTATGTTTTCTAAGAATTGGGTTTTGTTTTGCACAAATGACAAGTCTTTGGGCTTTGATTTTGCGAAATGATTTGGAATTCCCAATGTTTTCCTAGTTCACATATGATTCCTCTAGTGTTTGGCCCAAAAGAATGAGTTTTGAAGTATTTGATTTGAGTTTGGAAGCTTTGAGGTGAATCTAAAAATCTCAGAATTCGACATCTTCGCTCGAGCGATAGATCCTCCGCTCGAGCGGCCACCTTTGTTTTTGCATCTCTACTCAAGCGACCAGAAGTCCGTTCGAGCATAAAATGCAAGCTCCCAGAAGTTTTATGTTTTTGTAGACCGCTCGAGCGATCGTCGAGCGTCCGTCGAGCTTGAAAATCACACAATCCATACTTTTGCAGAAGTTTCAGACCACTCGAGCGGCAGAAGTTGCGTTCGAGTGACCACTCATATTTTGCATGTCCGCTCGAGTGAAGGAAGTTGCACTCGAGCAGGACCCTTGTTTTTAGCAAATTTTGTTAAGTGTTTCCAAGTACATCTTAGCATTCTCATTGCATCCTAGGTATTCCTAGGTCAAAGTTAAGACATAATAATGAGGATAAGAAGTAGAAATACACAAAGATAAGAAAAGATTAAGTTAATGATTCCGAATGTGTAATTCAGTATGTGTTCATTCTGTAACTGTGTAGGTCACACGCCACAAGACATCTGATTTGCCTACTTTATCTGTTTGCTTTAGACCCAACTGTGAATAATAACTTAGTAAAGTTATGTTCAACTTTAATTGTTTTATGTATGATGAAATACGATTTATTTTATGAAATGTTATATTCTGTACAACGAATGATTGTTCCAATTCTGATAAGTATTTGGGACTCAAGTAAATTATCTGTTCTTGGTCCTGAGGTTCATTTTTAGAACTGACAAGTTATCTGTACCCAGCCGGAGGTTCTTTTAAGGAATTAACAAATTATCCGTACCTAGACTAGAGGTTTTTTTATGGAACTGACAAGTTATCTGTACCCGGCCGGAGGTTCCTTTATAGAACTGACAAGTATAATCTTCCATGTCCCGTATGTGATTTGTTAGCGCTAACGAATGTAAGATTAAGTATGAATTTTGATTTCTGTTATTGACTTAAACAAGAATATGAATATAAATATGTTTTTGATATGAACTCTAATTTCTGATTATGTTATGGACATCATTATTCATCAAAACCCTTTACTGTGTTATTATTTACTAAGCTTTCGCTCGCTATTTATATTATGTATGTAGATGAGCAAGCGTGTGACCAAGCCTCAGCTGCTGCCTGGAGAGGTTAGAGTCAGCCAACCATCGTGCCTCCTGGGGAGGTTCTCTTTTGAGATGTCAAGTTTTGTAACCTAGCTACAGATGTTTTTGTTTTGTTTTGCTTATCTGCACATTGGGCTAAGTCATTTTTTGGCTTTATCTGTGGAAATGGATGGCATATGACTAATGTATTTATGACATCACATGCACATATATATACATATATATAAGTTTGTTTTGAAGTTTTCTGTCTCATGTATATCTACACAGCTCAATGGACTATGTATATTTCTTTATTTGCTTCTGTAGCGCCTAATTATAAGTCATTCTGTTCAGAGGCCTTTGGTAATCCAAGGATTACTGGCCGGTTACGATGTTAAACCTATAGGGGTGGGTTTGGGTTGTGACAATAACTTTATTTAGAACTATAAAATTTTACAGTTTCATAACATATTTTTCAGTTTGATTTATAAAGATAAATGCTTAATAGAATAATATTTTGAAACTGTAACATTATTACAGTTTTAAAGCTTGCTTTTCAGTTTGATCAATATTAGAAATAATTTGCCTAAACCTTACAAAATTTGAAAATAACATATATTTTTTTTTTCCATTGTTGCCGTTTGTTGTTCTTAGTTTTTTTTTTTTTTTTTTTTTTTTTTTTTTTTTTTTATTTAAATATTTAGCATATTTTGCTATGTTTTTTCACTTTAATTTCTCAGTTTATTCTTCTTTTTTTTGGACAATATTCTAGACATTCCAGTGAGTCTTCGGCGATATTCTTGATGTCCAACGAATATTCTAGACATTCCAACGACTTTCAGTGATATTCAGAACATTCCGGAGATACTCTAACAAATTTTTGATGATATTCCAGCAACTTCCCGGTGATGTTGAATATTCTAGCATGTCTCCGATGACTGTCTGATAGAAGTCCGACAGTGGTGGGATGTAGGAGCGTCTTTAAATTTTTTTTTTTCTAAAAAAATAAGATTTTTTGATAACAATTAAAAATATATAGAATTAATTGGTACAAGTATTTTGTTTTGGGAGTAGATGGATTTTGACTTTTTTGTATGGGATTTATTAGTAAGTTCCTCTTTTTTTTTTTTTTTTTTTTTTTTTTTTTTTTTTTTTCTCTCTCTCTCTCTCTAACGCTGTGTTTGGTTTGGAAATTTGATGAGAGATTTAGAAAGGGAAAAGGAAAAGATGTGTGAAAGTAGGTGAAATATAGATATATTTTATTATCATTTTACTACATTTTCTATTTTATTTTTTTAAATTCATACTCAAATCATCCAACCAACCACAACGTAAATGTTAAAATTATTGAGCTGGGCTGGGCTCTACAATGGGTGGGCCGTCTAGTTGGGCTTTCGTGAGGAAACTTTCGGGCCTACATTAGGGCCTGTACAGAATCTAACCTCAGTTAACTTAGGCCTAAATTTGTTCCCAACTAGGATATTTAGGAACAAAGGAGGCATTTCTCTACACTCTGCACTGTACCTCCTCTCCTCAGTTCATCTTGCTGCATCAATCAACTGTATACAATAAGCTTTACAATCCTTCTCTCCAGCAATTCACAACAATCTATTGGTGAGTTCTCTTGATAATTGATGTGTCTGGGTGTCTTGTTATGATCTTGTTTTCTATCTCCAATGTCCTCTACATGTTCGATAAATTGCCTCAAAGAGATATGTATTTGTTTCTGTAAGATTGAATGAGCTCTACGCAATTTGCAGTAAAATGTTTACGTTAAAAAGTGGTGTATTGGTGTGCTTTCTGTTGTGTGCTTGTGTGTGTTTTTACTCCCCAGTTGAAATTTTTTCATGAAGTAGAATGAATATCTAATGGATTAATTTTTACCCATTTCTGGGAATCCTTATATTGTGATTTTTTGGGGGTTAATTGTCACTCTTGAACCAGGCTGTGAATACTTGTTTATATTTAAGCATGTTCAAGTCATGTTGGTCTTTTATCTTCAGTTCCTGGGTTTTAGGGTTTAATTCTAGCTGATGAGTTGGGTTGGGAAACAATTGATTTTTGTTACATGTATGTGTGAAGTATATAAGTAAAAGATGATGCTACATGCGCATTCCTCATTTCATAAATGTTTCAAAATTTGTGAAGTATTTGTGTTGATGCTGCTATGTTATGCGAACACATTGTTTTTCTTTGGGTATGGGCGAACATTAGTGGAACTATCCATCTGTGTCTAGGACTAAAAAAATTTCCTTTGTTGTCTGTCTTTTTCTTTTTCTTTTGTAATATTTCCGATTATTTTATTCCCATAATATTAATGTACATGTTCTTACTTACACTCTGTTTGGATGGGTTGATTTGGTGAGAAATGATGAGAAAGAGAATTATTTTCTCATGTTTGGTTTATAAGTTGAGTAAGAAATGGTGAGAAAGGGAACTCTCTTACTAAGCCTATTTCATTTCTCACAAAAAGTAATGAGATTTGGTGAGAAACAAATTGATTGGTTGTAAAAAAAATTATAATACCAAGATTGCCCCTTCAAATACAAAGGAAGAAAAAAAAATCTCACTCATATCCCTCTCTCACATGCTTTCCTTTCTTATTCATCCAAACATGATAGTGAGAAAAGACAAACCACTTTTTTTTTTTTTTTCTTCTCACCTAGATGAGAGACCACAATCATTTGTTTTCTTTTCCCGTCCTATGATCCAAACGGAGTGTTAGTTTATGCATCAGTAAAGAACATTCGCTGAACAACATTTGTAGGCATACTAAATAAGTTTCTGTCGTTCAATTTTATAGGTTAAGCAACCATAAAATCTTGAGATGGTTTTCTCTCGAGGCATGAAACGTCCCATTGGGATTCTTTATAAGACGCTGAGCAGTCCCATGTATTGTGGGCAAAGTTATTCTACTTGTGCATATAGGGGAAGTTCCATTGTTGAAGTTGGAGAGATTAAAAAATTATTTTCCTCTAACTATGCCAATCCACACCGTGCTTTTGGAATGTTTTTGAGAAGATATGCAGTTGAAGTTCCAGCTTCGGAACAGATGAGTCTTATAAAGCAGTTGAGGGAAAAAACAAGTGCTCCTATTAAAGATGTGAAGTCTTCTCTGATTGATTGCAATTGGGACATTGGCAAGTCTGGCTTTTCTCTTCCTGCGTTGTTTTTTGTTTTGAATCAAATTATTTTTCGACTTGCCGTTTACTTTACAAATTCCAATTTTTAACAGTTGTTCAATGCAGATGCTGCACAAAAGGACCTGAGGAAAAGAGGGGTGGTTCTTGTGTCGAAAAAGTCATCTCGAACTGCAGCTGAGGGTTTGCTTGCATTAGTGCAGAATGAGAGCAAGGCTGCTGTCATTGAACTTAATTGTGAAACAGACTTTGTTGCAAGAAATGAAATATTTCAATATGTGGTTAGTATAAAATCATATGTGTGCATATCCATCTACGTTACATGGATTCTTCTAAATGTATTAAACACCTAAGACATTCGACACTTGGGCAAGGATATGGGATATGTGTCTAACATGTGTAATTGGACATTCACCTAATAAACATATTTAGTAATTCGAGTTACCTTAAAATTATGCATAAAATTGTCATATTCTGCATGAAATACTCTATGGAATATTGTTACACCATTTTACCTAGGAAAATAAATGAAGTATATTAAGAAGGAAATCCCTTCAGTGCACACCCCTAAAAAGGTGTGTTATGTGTGTACCATTATGCACATTGTTATACGTTTTTGTGGTACACATTAAGCATTTTTGTGGCAAATGTTACGTAATCTTCTGATAGAGTTATAATAATTTGTGGCTTAAAAATGAAGCTATGCATTTTTGTGGTAATATTATATACATTTTTTTCATCAAAAAATTATTGAACCACAAAATGTGTAACTTTACCACAAAACTTCGTAACGCTACCACAAAAATGCTTAACTTCATTTCCGGGCCACAAATTATTGTAACTCTACTAAAAAATTGTATTTTCATGATGGAGCAACTCTCCTATGTCCATAGTGCAAATTCATTGCTGTGCTTGGTGCAACTTTTCCTATGTGTCTGAGTTGCACCCAAAAAAAAAAATTCATTTATAGTGCAATTTTTTTTCCACTACTCCATGTATTTGCAATTTTTCCAAAAAAATTACATAATATTTGCTACAAAAATGCATAACATGTACCAAGAAAATGTGTAACAAAGGTGCATATGGTACAAAACTCCTCATAGGGTGTGTACCGAAAGGGCTTCCTTATTAAGAAATATGAGCATTTTGTCGTGTCATGCCCTTGGACATGGTAACTAGATGAATTAGACACTTAGATGCACACCTTCACCCAACACTTACTTGAGTCTATGTAACATACATTTCTATTTTCTAACTCTAATTAATATATTGTACCCTAAAGTCCGCTCATGCTTCATCAATCATGTTCTTGTAGGCGTTATCTTTAGCAAAGTTAGCTTTGTTGGTTGAAACTTCTTCTCAGCAGGTTTCTGGGGCCTTCTCTATTGGACCTGAATGTTTGGAGGTAATCAGTCTGTTTGGTCTTGTCTTTTGTCTTTAGAAGTTTAAGAGATAACTCTTTCTATTTGTTTGTCAAGACAGAAATAGTTTTTGGTTATTTTTTTGTTGTTGCAAGTTTTTTAATCATGTGAGAATTTAAGTCTGGTCTACACTCAACTCATGAACTCATATTTATTATATGAAAATTTCATTATTGTTGTGGGCACCATACATGTATCCGAGCCTCCAATGTGTCACACCGTGTCATCCCCACATGTTCGTCATGACATCATCTCCAACGTACTTTGATTTATGTGTTAGCCTCATGAGGTCAAGCTATACCAGTCAAGGCTAAGTGATGGGGATGGGAACGGCATTGGTTGATAGCACTTCACCTAACCCACTATCACCTCCACTACACCTACTACCACATTTTCTTCTATATATAGATTGTATAGGAATTGTAATTTATCAATCTTGTAATACATCAAGATATCCATCAATAATACAATTTATTCTCTTTCTCTCTCTATCAATATTTCTAACAGAACGGCATTGGTTGATAGTAAATTGAAGAATATATGAATTTTAATATAATTAGAAATTATGATTTAATAAGATTTTATTTTTGGATTTTATTTCTTTATCAGTAGTTGCCAATTCCTTAGTTTCCTAGTTTTGGGTTTCTTAATTAAATAGTGCTTATGTCTATATATATGCTTTTATGTAATAGTTTTGGATACTTAGACTTTAATGAATTTGATAATTATTATTGAGAGGTGTTGTTTCGGGATTGTGATCCCTGATTTATTCTTCTTCTTCCTTTTTTTTTGTGTGATAAATATGCATTGGAAAATCATCAAGATGATGCAAAGAATACAAAAATTCGTTCATTCTTCTTCTTGGAGCTCCTTAGCCTCAACCCTAGGCATTGAGGGACACTTCAGAGGCATACCACTTGACTTGTGCATCTTGCAAGTTGAACTCTTTATGGAACTAGTGAAAGCAAAGAACTCAGTTATTCTGCCTAAAGAAATATGCCCAACTTGTTATGCTTGAATTTAATTTAATCTTCATATAGGAGTCTGGAGAGCCTCTTTTGATTCCTTTTATTCTTACAGGAGTTAAAAATTAATCTTGACCATCCTAAATTAAATGGAGAAAAAACAGTCCAAAATGCAATTACAGAATTGGCGGCAATGATGGGAGAGAATGTAAAGCTTAGAAGGGGTATTGCAATGTCTGCTCCTTCAGGGGGTATTATTTCTACATATCTCCATTCGAGCCCTCAACCAGGTTAGTAATTTTCAAATGTGCTCTTTCCTTGGAATGCCAGTTGTGTTATTTGCATAAGTTACGTATGTACGCATCTTTTGCGTCTGTGTGTTTGTCTTTTGAATGCATTTGTTTTATAAATACTGAAGTTTTTTTTGGTTAGTCTTCTATTAAGTAAAAGAGTTAGTCTTAATTTTTATTTTTTATTTTTTTTTGGTTAGTTTTCTACCATTAGATTAGCATCTTTTATGTCTACCCTTAGATCTACCTACAGGTTTCTGAACTCGGGCAATTCGGGCAATTCGGGCAACCCGAGTTCAAAATACAAAGCTTGGGCCGGGCTTGGGCAACAATGTTCGGGTTCATGGTCGGGCTTGGGCAGTGCCAAATACAATTCGGGTCGGGCTTGGGCAGACCCCCAACCCGACCGAACCCGCCCGAGTTGCACCCCTAATATATACATATATATAAGTTTGTTTTGAAGTTTTCTGTCTCATTTATATCTACACAGCTCAATGGACTATGTATATTTCTTTATTTGCTTCTGTAGCCCCTAATTATATGTCATTCTGTTCAGAGGCCTTTGGTAATCTAAGGATTACTAGCCGGTTACGATGCTAAACCTATAGGGGTGGGTTTGGGTTGTGACAATAACTTTATTTAGAACTATAAAATTTTACAGTTTCATAACATTTTTTTCAGTTTGATTTATAAGGATAAATACTTAATAGAATAATATTTTGAAACTGTAACATTATTACAGTTTTAAAGCTTGCTTTTCAATTTGATCAATATTAGAAATAATTTGCCTAAACCTTACAAAAATTGAAAATAACATATATTTTTTTTCCATTGTTGTTGTTTGTTGTTCTTAGTTTTTTTTTAAAAAAAAAATATTTAGCATATTTTGCTATGTTTTTTCACTTTAATTTCTCAGTTTATTCTTCCTTTTTTTGGACAATATTCTAGACATTCCAGTGAGTCTTCGACGATATTCTTGACGTCCAATGAATATTTTAGACATTCCGGCGACTTTCAGTGATATTCAGAACATTCCGGAGATACTCTAACAAATTTCTGATGATATTCCAGCAACTTCCCGGTGATGTTGAATATTCTAGCATGTCTCCGATGACTGTCTGATAGAAGTCCGACAGTGGTGGGATGTAGGAGCGTCTTTAAATTTTTTTTTTCTAAAAAAATAGGATTTTTTTGATAACAATTAAACATATATAGGATTAATTGGTGCAAGTATTTTGTTTTGGGAGTAGATGGATTTTGACTTTTTTGTATGGGATTTATTAGTAAGTTCCTCTTCTTCTTTTTTTTTTTCTTTTTTTTTTCTCTCTCTAACGCTGTGTTTGGTTTGGAAATTTGATGAGAGATTAGGGAAAAGGAAAAGACGTGTGAAAGTAGGTGAAATATAAATATATTTTATTATCATTTTATTACATTTTCTATTTTATTTTTTTAAATTCCTACTCAAATCATCCAACAAATCATCCAACCAACCACAACGTAAATGTTAAAATTATTGAGCTGGGCTGGGCTCTACAATGGGTGGGCCGTCTAGTTGGGCTTTCGTGAGGAAACTTTCGGGCCTACATTAGGGCCTGTCCAGAATCTAACCTCAGTTAACTTAGGCCTAAATTTGTTCCCAACTAGGATATTTAGGAACAAAGGAGGCATTTCTCTACACTCTGCACTGTCCCTCCTCTCCTCAGTTCATCTTGCTGCATCAATCAACTGTATACAATAGCCTTTACAATCCTTCTCTCCAGCAATTCACAACAATCTATTGGTGAGTTCTCTTGATAATTGATGTGTCTGGGTGTCTTGTTATGATCTTGTTTTCTATCTCCAATGTCCTCTACATGTTCGATAAATTGCCTCAAAGAGATATGTATTTGTTTCTGTAAGATTGAATGAGCTCTACGCAATTTGCAGTAAAATGTTTACGTTAAAAAGTGGTGTATTGGTGTGCTTTCTGTTGTGTGCTTGTGTGTGTTTTTACTCCCCAGTTGAAATTTTTTCATGAAGTAGAATGAATATCTAATGGATTAATTTTTACCCATTTCTGGGAATCCTTATATTGTGATTTTTTGGGGGTTAATTGTCACTCTTGAACCAGGCTGTGAATACTTGTTTATATTTAAGCATGTTCAAGTCATGTTGGTCTTTTATCTTCAGTTCCTGGGTTTTAGGGTTTAATTCTAGCTGATGAGTTGGGTTGGGAAACAATTGATTTTTGTTACATGTATGTGTGAAGTATATAAGTAAAAGATGATGCTACATGCGCATTCCTCATTTCATAAATGTTTCAAAATTTGTGAAGTATTTGTGTTGATGCTGCTATGTTATGCGAACACATTGTTTTTCTTTGGGTATGGGCGAACATTAGTGGAACTATCCATCTGTGTCTAGGACTAAAAAAATTTCCTTTGTTGTCTGTCTTTTTCTTTTTCTTTTGTAATATTTCCGATTATTTTATTCCCATAATATTAATGTACATGTTCTTACTTACACTCCGTTTGGATGGGTTGATTTGGTGAGAAATGATGAGAAAGAGAATTCTTTTCTCATGTTTGGTTTATAAGTTGAGTAAGAAATGGTGAGAAAGGGAACTCTCTTACTAAGCCTATTTCATTTCTCACAAAAAGTAATGAGATTTGGTGAGAAACAAATTGATTGGTTGTAAAAAAAATTATAATACCAAGATTGCCCCTTCAAATACAAAGGAAGAAAAAAAAATCTCACTCATATCCCTCTCTCACATGCTTTCCTTTCTTATTCATCCAAACATGATAGTGAGAAAAGACAACCACTTTTTTTTTTCTTCTCACCTAGATGAGAGACCACAATCATTTGTTTTCTTTTCCCGTCCTATGATCCAAATGGAGTGTTAGTTTATGCATCAGTAAAGAACATTCGCTGAACAACATTTGTAGGCATACTAAATAAGTTTCTGTCATTCAATTTTATAGGTTAAGCAACCATAAAATCTTGAGATGGTTTTCTCTCGAGGCATGAAACGTCCCATTGGGATTCTTTATAAGACGCTGAGCAGTCCCATGTATTGTGGGCAAAGTTATTCTACTTGTGCATATAGGGGAAGTTCCATTGTTGAAGTTGGAGAGATTAAAAAATTATTTTCCTCTAACTATGCCAATCCACACCGTGCTTTTGGAATGTTTTTGAGAAGATATGCAGTTGAAGTTCCAGCTTCGGAACAGATGAGTCTTATAAAGCAGTTGAGGGAAAAAACAAGTGCTCCTATTAAAGATGTGAAGTCTTCTCTGATTGATTGCAATTGGGACATTGGCAAGTCTGGCTTTTCTCTTCCTGCGTTGTTTTTTGTTTTGAATCAAATTGTTTTTCGACTTGCCGTTTACTTTACAAATTGTAGAAATTTAATGTATAAAGAGAAAAAGAGAATTGTATTATTGATTGATGTTTGTAATTATTGAATTATTGAATGCTACAATGATTCCTATATATAGAAGAGTAGGTGGTAGTAGGTGGTAGGTGGAGTAGGTGAAGTGGAGGTGGTAGTGGTGTAGTGGGTTTAGTGGAGTAGGTGAGGTGGTAGTGGTGTAGTGGGTTAGGTTTAGTGGGTGAAGTAGGTGATAGGTTTTAACAGCCCCCCGCAAACTCAAGGGGGATAGGAACTAACCAACTTGAGTTTGGAGAGAGTAACAAAACAAGAAAATACATAAAAAATAAAAGAGGATAGGAGACACTGTATGGTCGTGTCAGACCATTGGTGAAGACACTGGATGGTGGTGTCATAACGTTGTAGAGGACACTGTATAGGGGTGTCATAACGGTGTAGAGGACACTGGATGGCGGTGTCAGACCGATGTAGAAGACAGTTTATGGGGTCATGTCGGACCGTTGTAGAAGACAGTTTAGAATCAAATGTCGGGACAGTTTACAGAGTCCCCTCTCTTCTGGAAGCCATTCAGAGAGAATGGGTTGTTGAAGTTAAAAAGAAAGTGTTAGCAATTGAATATGAATTTGCTTGCGTTTTTTGTTTTGTTGTGTTTGCTCTCTTATAAAGGGATTGCATCGGGAAAGAGGGGGTGAGTTTATTAACTTTTTCAGCTTTATGAAGACGTTGGGAATGAGTGATTCCATGGAGAGGACAACTCACCAATTGAAGTTATAGCTGTTGGTTTAGAGCGAACCATTAATAGTTATTGATTTGGTGATGCTTATGGTAGCTTGTGATAGCTTTTGTAGCTGTTAGCAAAGTAACTTTTTGGAGAGTTTAAGATTTTTGTAGTCTATTTTTTATGTTTCTACCAAGCAAAGAGAGTTTTTGATTGGTTTAAGGATTCTTCCTTGGGAATCGGTCTGACACCGCCATCCAGTGTCCTCTACAACGTTATGACACCCCCATACAGTGTCCTCTACAACGTTATGACACCACCATCCAGTGTCTTCACCAATGGTCTGACACGACCATACAGTGTCTTCTATCTTTTTTTTATTTTTATGTATTTTCTTGTTTTGTTACTCTCTCCAAACTCAAGTTGGTTAGTTTCTCTCCTCCTTGAGTTTGCGGGGGGCTGTTAGAATTTCTCATCTTTACCTTCACCTACTCCACTACACACTCCACTTCACCTATCTCCACTTCACCACACACTCCACTTCACCTAACCCACTATCACCTCCACTACACCTACTACCACATTTTCTTCTATATATAGATTGTATAGGAATTGTAATTTATCAATCTTGTAATACATCAAGATATCCATCAATAATACAATTTATTCTCTTTCTCTCTCTATCAATATTTCTAACAGAACGGCATTGGTTGATAGTAAATTGAAGAATATATGAATTTTAATATAATTAGAAATTATGATTTAATAAGATTTTATTTTTGGATTTTATTTCTTTATCAGTAGTTGCCAATTCCTTAGTTTCCTAGTTTTGGGTTTCTTAATTAAATAGTGCTTATGTCTATATATATGCTTTTATGTAATAGTTTTGGATACTTAGACTTTAATGAATTTGATAATTATTATTGAGAGGTGTTGTTTCGGGATTGTGATCCCTGATTTATTCTTCTTCTTCCTTTTTTTTTGTGTGATAAATATGCATTGGAAAATCATCAAGATGATGCAAAGAATACAAAAATTCGTTCATTCTTCTTCTTGGAGCTCCTTAGCCTCAACCCTAGGCATTGAGGGACACTTCAGAGGCATACCACTTGACTTGTGCATCTTGCAAGTTGAACTCTTTATGGAACTAGTGAAAGCAAAGAACTCAGTTATTCTGCCTAAAGAAATATGCCCAACTTGTTATGCTTGAATTTAATTTAATCTTCATATAGGAGTCTGGAGAGCCTCTTTTGATTCCTTTTATTCTTACAGGAGTTAAAAATTAATCTTGACCATCCTAAATTAAATGGAGAAAAAACAGTCCAAAATGCAATTACAGAATTGGCGGCAATGATGGGAGAGAATGTAAAGCTTAGAAGGGGTATTGCAATGTCTGCTCCTTCAGGGGGTATTATTTCTACATATCTCCATTCGAGCCCTCAACCAGGTTAGTAATTTTCAAATGTGCTCTTTCCTTGGAATGCCAGTTGTGTTATTTGCATAAGTTACGTATGTACGTATCTTTTGCGTCTGTGTGTTTGTCTTTTGAATGCATTTGTTTTATAAATACTGAAGTTTTATTCTAGCAGTTTGGATGACTGAGTGGATTTGACTCAACAATGGATCTTAGTTTTGTTGATCTGAATGCAGGTTTGGGACGTATTGCTGGAATTTTATCTCTTGAGGTAGAGGATGGGAATACTACACTGGATTCTCTCCAGCATGTTGGGTCAGAACTAGCAATGCATGTAGTTGCTACTAAGCCATTGTTTCTGACAAAGGATCTTGTGTCTTCAGATGCATTGGAGAATGAACGTGAGATTCTTAAGTCTCAGGTACTTTTTAATGGCATTATTTAAGTTTTAACCATGTGTTTTATGTTATATTTATTGTGAAGTTTCCCTGGATTGAAGTCTGGACTCTCTCCCTTGTGACCTATGGTTTTCAATTATATTTGTTTTGGAAATCTTTAATAGAAGTATTATCCATTACAAGTTGAACTCTGTTTTTTGGTTTCCAGATTCTAAAGAAAGAAATATGAATATAGCTGAGGAAATGAATTTCCTCAGAGAATGACGATTACTTCGGTTATTATCATTGCCTTCTCTCCTATTAAAATCCACACCGCAACTGTTTCCACCAAGTATACAAATTTGTAGATGTATGATCATATCATATGGAGTTCTTTTGGTGAAGTGGTAGTTGAAATGTAGTTAGCGATTAGATAGTATTTCCAGAGAGATCAGGATTTATGTATATAATTTATTCCTTGTTTTTTTTTAGTTTAGAAAAGTGATAGGTGTTACAAATATTGGTTTTCCATATTTGGTTCCCCCAAATACTCTAGTTTTAGGTTTTATGTGTCAGAATCATCAATTACAGTATTCTAATAATTGATTATAGAGTAATTGCCATCATGTCAACACATAGGTACTTCGAGGTTGTTGGTGCATTCTTGGATTAACAAAGCCTTAGAAGAATGTTTGGAAATTTTAAAGTCTATATTAGCTCGAACCATTAGTTTAATCTTATTGACTGCTATATTCTTTACCAATGATTAATGATTTTATTGTCTTACTACATCAACTCCTTTGTTCAAAGAAATCAAGTTTAATGCTAGAGTAACACTCAATCACTTCTTGCGGTACCCTCAATTTTTGTTAGTTTCAAATTCGTAAAGATTTCATTCGTTTCTCTTTTTTAGGCTGAAACTACAGGGAAATCTCAAATGGCCATAGAGAAAATGGTTGAAGGTCGTTTGCGGAAGTACTTTGAGGAAGTAGTTCTCATGGAGCAAAAGTTTGTTGTAAATGACACTATAAATGTGAAGGTATGAAGATGGTCATCCAGTTAGATGCAAATCTTTTTGGAGTTTTGATACATGATTGTTTTATCTTCTTAGGAAAGTGAATATCAACCCTTTCAGTTTCATTTTATTGTTTTATCTTGTTAAGAAAGTGAATATCAACCCTTTCAGTTTCATTTTTTTTTTTTTTAAAAATTGCCAATTACATTTATTTTTAAAAAAATTCATTTCTTTTCCATTTTTTTCCCCCCACTCCCATGAAAGGCCCATTTTGGCTACTAGAAGGGGAAGTCATCTTAATATGTATATCTCCATGAGTGAATATTTTCTGGATAAGTACAATGGTTGGCCAATTATTGAAACACTTGCTTTACTTTCTGTGGTTTACTATTTCTTAAAATCATACTATAGAAATGAAATAAAAGTTGCTGGTATTGACACTGACACATACCAGCAGTTATGTTTTGGTATTTGTCAATTATTTAAACTAGAGTAAAGGTTGACACTCCAATATTTGAATTCATATTGTTATTATTTTTTAAATAAGTTGAAATTCTTCAAGGGTAATGCACAAAAGGTTTTATTAATTTAAGACCTTCAACTTTCAAGTTTGCCTATTGCATGTTGGAATTCTTTTCATATAGTTTCACTTGATGGTATTGTTGCATGCACTATACATTCATGAGTTAGAGCATTTTATAAACGTATCTGTAGATTTGATTGTAAAGAAAGTGTAGTTTTACATTGACTTTTTGCATGAACTCCAACAGACACTGTTGAATAATTTATCTAAGGAAGTGGGTTCACCAGTTAAGATTGGGGGCTTTTGCAGAATTCAAATTGGAGAAGGCATTCAGAGGTAAACACTGTAAACTAATTAAAACTCTCTCCTTATCTTGCTCTATTAGAAGTTTTCACTCGTGGTACTTCAAATGTTGGCCAGCTCAATGAATTATTATTTGCCATTTTGGTGCTCTACGCTGTTAATGTATGAGATCTTGTCATGTGAAAATTTTGCTTTTAATTATTTTCCCATCCTCCTTGAGAGGAGTCATATACGCTATGCAGATGAATCTAGTTGCTAGAATAGAACTCACAATCCCAATCCAGGATAATGAATGGTTATACCTATAGCACATTCGTCAAAATATATGAATCTGTATTTGTAAACCATGTCTAAAATGATTCCAAATCCCTCAGCAAGATCTCTTTTCTGTTTGATGGTGCTGGCAGAACATCTTTTGGAATCCTGAAACTGAATTGTCCCTCACTGACTGTGAGTTTAGGTTGGAGTTTCTCTCTCTCTCTCTGTCTCTCTGGCTAGGCTTTTTAGCAATTTGCTGGCATACAGTGTCTGTATTCTTTTTAGGACCAGAGCAAATGGATTTTTATTGGTTAGTACACCAGAACAAACAGACATTGTGGTGCCTCTTATTCCTACCCTGGGGAGATGGAGTACCAAGATGAGGTTTATGAGGATCTGACTTAGTCCTAAAGTCAAGCTTGGGTTTGGTTGGCGTATGTTGGGCTGGCTTGATTATTCAGATGGATGCCAAGTTTTGGTCCTCTCTTTATATAAGCCTTGAAGACCAAGTTTGTATGCCGTTGAACATTTGGTTAATCATTCAAGTTCATTAAAAGGTTATGCACCAGAAAATATGGAATAATAATTCCCGGACATTACCCGGTGTTGGCACCTATTAATCGAGAGTGCTAGGAGGGGTAAGACAGGAGATAGACCTAACCTTTGGCATCATTTGCACAAAGTGACTGCTTTCATACTGAAACCCCTGTTCTCACACTAGGCAGCTCAAGGATTTACCATTGCACCAAAAATGCTCCTAGGTTTTGAGGTAGTTGAGAATGATATTTTGTGAAGGTCTGTTCCTAGGTTTTGTCTGCAAGACCAATACTTTTCCTCACTTCCAAAAGGAAAATAAAAAATAAATATAGTTGAAATATATGTATTATTGACTGTTCTCACACTAGGCAGCTCAAGGATTTACCATTGCACCAAAAATGCTCCTAGGTTTTGAGGTAGTTGAGAATGATATTTTGTGAAGGTCTGTTCCTAGGTTTTGTCTGCAAGACCAATACTTTTCCTCACTTCCAAAAGGAAAATAAAAAATAAAAAATTAATATAAATAGAATAAAATAATTTAAAGATAAAAGAAGAACAGAAGAGTACAGAAAAGAAAAGAACATGGAAAGATGATAAACCTTGCAAGAATGTGGGGGAAGGGAGATATTACAATGGAAAACCAATTGGGATGAGGTTTTCTTTATCTTTCATCTAATTTTCTAACATCCTAAAGAATATGGAGAATAATTTCTTTCAACAATTTTTTTTTTTAATTTTAACCAATAATTTTTGACACCTTACAGATGCCAACATCATCACATAGCTTAAAGATACGTGAAATTACATGAAAGAATGCATTAGATGAGTTTCAGTTTTGATAAGGTTGTGAAGAAAATTGAGAAGGCCTCAACCGGAGCCCAGGTCAACTATAGGTTGGGTTATGATTTCTGTACCCATGACCAATTCTAAGTTTAAACATTTTAGCCCAAGCTTGCCCTTTGGTAGTGTTGTGCTCATTTTGGACCTACATTAGCTGAAGGCTGATTGTCAGGTAATGTTGTTGCATGCACAATGGCCTCTGACATTAGCTCGTCATTGTGGCTCTGGTTGACTTTGATTTTGCAAATTGTTGGAAGTAGTGCCTTAACTCAGCCCCTACCTGCCTGCATATGCCAAAATAACTGTACTCCTGAGACTTCTTTCTAAGTGATCATCTGCTTTACTTCTGGAAAGTTTGAGATTCTCATCCTTGTGTCATCAGACGTGGTATCTCTCCCCTCTCGCATGTGCGCATGTAATGCTTTACCTGAGTCTGGTCAAGCTGCTGTTTTTATTTTTTTTAATAATCTTGATAGGCATAATTTAAACCATTTTGACAACTTCGACTGGGAATATATTGGCTTTATTTTCCTCCATCATTTGTATTAGCATGGACAGCTGATCACAAATACGAGACTTAGGCCAAGTTTGGCATGAAGCCAAAAAGTCAAAAAATTACTCAAAAAGTTAAAAAAGTTATCACTATTCACCAAAAGTCAAAAATTACGGCTGCACAACTCCCAATCCTAATTTTCCCCTACACACTAATTTATACAATTTTTTAATACACATTTTTCTATTAAAAGTCAAAAAGTTAACTCAAACAACTATATTTTTTTCCTCAACTTTTTAGTCCAAAAAGTCAAAAAGTGCACTTATTTAGGACATCCCAAATTGTCAAGTGAAACCTTTCTTTCCTTCTCCACAGTCGACTTTTCTTTCTTTTCTGGGGCTTACATACCCACTATTGAGTCAAACTTGCAGTCTCGGTTTATTTTTAAAGGTTTCCTTTTTTATCTTATATTTTGACTTGTGAATATGTGGAAATGTCGATAATTTCTAATGTATATGCTGTTTCTTTATTTGGTTCGGTCCCTCAATATTAGAACCAGATTATCGTTCCTAATATATTTTTTTTTTCATTTGGTTTGCACTTTAAAAGTGGAAAGGCCAAGCACTAGAGCCTTATAATCTGTCTCTTCTAAATTATGAAAGGGTTGCTAACAATCTGTACTGGCAGGCTTGAAGCGTCTAATGAATCTGAACCCGTGGCTCAAGCTGCTTAATTTGGGGATGGTTTTTCCAAAGATCTATGAAAATGCTTTGAAAAGAATTCTACCGATGTTACTCTAGAATTCAGGATCTCCTGTACTTCCCTACTTCCTTTGATTGACTAGGTTAAATTTTACTGTTTGCATATAGTAGATGCTGCAATAGTTGTTGAGGATTTACAGAAACCTGATGGTTGAAGGGTTTTGATGTTGTCTTTTAAGTTATGAAAACAGGATAATATTTTTTTTTTGTCCTATATTTTGATTATGAACTACCAATAGCATTCTTGAGATGGCTAATTGGAGCAGGATTCATTTTTCTGTTACATGTTTTTGTAGTTCCCGAAGCATCAAATTAGAAGAAATGTTTAGTCTCCATAACCTATTGGAGTTTCACTAGATTTAGACAGCTCTACTTGGTTGTGGATAGGAACTGAATTTGATGTCGTTAGTTTGGGAGCTACTAGGGTCTCCGCTCTTGAAAAAGGTCATACTGTATGTATCTTATCGCAATATAAATCATATAACTACAATATTCCGTAACAATCACCGCGTGTAACTTTTTCTCATGACATTTACACGACACTGTTCATAATATAACCATAATTGTTATGACATACCACAATAGTTCATCATAAATTCAATCATGCATAACTTTACAACAAAATTATATAATAATAATAATAATAATAATAATAATGTGCACCTTGTTAGGGTGTAAAGCATAGATTTCTCCCTTTAGTTATGCCAATTAAAGGCTCGAATTTGAGTAGTACTTGAGGGTAATAACATCACATTAAAATTAAATTTAAAAAATCATGAACAACCCATTCAAATTATGGTAAACACCACCATTAAACTGATCTTCAAGTACAGAGTGTCATTTGTTACAGATTACAGATAATATACCAAATAAACTCTGCACATACTATCCCAAATGAGAGAGAGAGAATGTATAGAAGGGAGAAGCTCATTAGTGGAACTTGAGGTTGGTCAAGACATTGTTGTTGACAGGGTCAGCCAAATGATCCAGAAGGTTCTGGAAGGGTCCAACCCCAGTCACCAACGCCTGCACAAAGAAACCCAACATACCCAACATGGCCAACCTCCCGTTCTTTACCTCCTTCAACTTCATATCCCTCATTGACTTCTCATCCTTTCCAAGCCCAAGTGGGTTAAACAGTGGCCCACCAGGGTATGCAGGGTTATCCGTCCCGCCCAAATATTTCTCCAGGCCCAAAAAGTACTGTTTACTCATTGAGCCTGGGTTGTACCAAGCCTGGAACCTCCTGTGCTCTGCAAAGCCCACTAGTGCCAATTCGAAAACAAAAAGAGTGTATGGGTCAGCCCAATAGTCGTAGGTCCCAGCGGGCGGGATCACGCCTGTTTTGAACCACGGCAGAGCGGTTTCTGGCGGAATTAGGCCGAGTTTGCCCAAGATTTCTGGGGCGATGCATCCGATAGAGCCGACCATGGCGGTACGGCCGTTGAAGATCTCGCCATAGGCTAGCCATCTGGGCTCGATGAAGCCTCCGGTACCTTCTGGGTCGGACAAGCCGAGCGGGTCGAATCCGTAGTCGCCGGGCAGGCTGTGGTGGTGGTTTTGAAGTGAATTTAGGTTAGATTGGAATGATGTTTTTCAGGTGTGTGGGTGTTTATTGTTGAGTATTTTTTTGGATAAATTGCACTCTAATTTTGCACTTTTGACATAATTGCACTAATTTTTCTAACACTTTTCCATTAGTAATTCGTTAGTTATATGAATGAAAAAATGATATTATATACTCACAAATATCATTAGTTTCAGTCGCTTTAACTATACTAACATGGAAATAAAGCTCTTTTTCCAACAGTAATTCGTTAGTTATATGAATGAAAAAATGATATTATATACCTATAAATGTCATTAGTTTCAGTCATTTTAACTATACTAACAGAAAAATTAGTGTAATATTGTCAAAAGTGTGTGGTTAACTGTATTTTTTCTAAATTTTAAAGGAGGTGAATATAATTTACCTTTGTTTTTTTCAAGAGAGGAGAGATTAGAATCCTTTTACCTGCCATCTAAGTAGGAGAGACTTTGCTTGGAGGCAAACCAGAGAGGTCTATCTGCTCCTTGCTGAAACCAAAAAAACGCCATTTCAAAAAAAAAAAAAAAAAAAAAAAAAAAAAAATCTTATCACTCTTCTATAAATGCATAATTCATATCTTACTTAGGTTACCAAATTTTATTTTGTTTAAAATTTTGAGTAAAAGCTTTATTTGACATAGATTATTTTAATAGATAATTGCATATTTAAGTATAAATTTTAAATAAAATATCCACTAATTGTAGAGTGATAAATTTGAGTCACAAAATTACCTTGAATATTCTAAATAAACATTTGAGTATCCTTGATTTGGGTAAAAACTTAACATGAGTGTGAGTCAATGAGTGGAGGGTGTTTTGAGTAATTTTTACCTAAATTAAGATTTGCTATAGGTTTAAATTAAGGATTAGACATGCCGAGTAAACCTTTAATGCAACGGTGATATTATCAACACGATTAAAATTCATTTGAAATCGATTTAAAAAGTAAACAAATTAAATTTTAACAGATTTTGAAATTCGTTAAATTCTTTCAAGTCAGATTGAAAAAACTATTACTCGACTCAATTCAACTTGGCCCGTTTACAAGGCTACATCTTAAGCATTTCAATAAGTTTCATTGAACTTAAATTGTCAACGATATAGATAAACAAATTTTTTCTTATGACTACACACAAAGGTATAGTTACTCTGTCTATTTATTAAAGTTAATCCCACTATCTTTATATCTAATGATAAAAAAAATAAAAAATAAAAGGTATAAAATCCATTTATATATAACATGACTCAAATACACTATGGATTCAATTTCTAGAGATAGAAACAGAGTGACAAACCTTAACAGGGGGAGTAGTAGCTGCCCTAACAACAAAAGAGACCTTCCTTCTTGAAGAATGGGTAGCTGGCCTTCCTCCTAGAATCTGCCTTGCAGCCTCCACTGAGGAGGTAAGAGATGATGAAGACACCAGTGCTTGAGTTGCCATTTTCTCAATACAAAGTTGGTTGCTGTGCTCTGTTTGGGACTACTATGAAATCTCTCAATCACTCACGACACGAACAATAAACAAAATGGCTATCAAATAAGGGCCACTAACCTGTGTGTGGAGTTGCTATGAGAGAATTAAAATTGTGGTTGTTATGAGATTCTTGAAATCTAGATCAGATTAGGATCTTGTAGTCCAATCAGGAGTGGACAAGTGGCACAATCACATGGATAAGAGATATTACTGCCTTGTTGGAAATGGAAAATGCTATAAGCTCTAAATTTTCTATCAAATGAATAATCAAATGTCTCACGACCTACACTCATGTGAGACATTTGATCATTTATTTGGCAGAATCTCTCAATCACTCACGACACGAACAATAAACAAAATGGCTATCAAATAAGGGCCACTAACCTGTGTGTGGAGTTGCTATGAGAGAATTAAAATTGTGGTTGTTATGAGATTCTTGAAATCTAGATCAGATTAGGATCTTGTAGTCCAATCAGGAGTGGACAAGTGGCACAATCACATGGATAAGAGATATTACTGCCTTGTTGGAAATGAAAAATGCTATAAGCTCCAAATTTTCTATCAAATGAATAATCAAATGTCTCACGGCCCACACACGTGAGACATTTGATCATTTATTTGGTAGAAAATTTTGTATCCCTAACATTACTTGTTGGAAATGAAAAATGCTACAAACCTCAAATTCTTGATGGACTCAGATTGCTTCTCAAGTTCTTCCCAAGATTTATTTATTTTTATTTTATTTTATTTTGATACATGACAAGAAGATATTGAACGATTTTTTTTACAGTGCACAGTGATGGTGGTTTAGGTGCACCACTCATCAAAACAATCCTAATATTTAAATTTAAATAAAGAAAAAATTAAGTTATTGAATGGTAATGAGTAAAATTGGATGTAAGTAGCGTTACACATTATTTGAATTGATTATACTTATTACATAGATTAAAATTGGGTGGAATTATGAATAGAGTGGGATTACGTGATGAAATTAATAGTGTAGTGGATTAGGTTGAAAATGTAAAACAAGTGTTAGTTTGTACACTAGTGCGATGATATTAGTTGGTTGTAATTGAATTTATGAAATTTCATAAAAACCCTTATTATATAAAAGGTGACTTTCTTAATTTTGTAAAATGAATGGCAAAATATATATTTTTTTCAAATATTCCCACCTCCCCCTCTAAGAATGCAAATCCTATCATTGGTGGGTATTTGTTGTCTCGTGAAACACTTAGCCACACAACATTGTGTGGATGTTTTATTTACCACACAATGTGATCTTATTTATCAACTTTTTTATGCAAAATACACTAACCAACTTATAATACACATTCTTATGAGAAGAAATTTGGTGCCACAATGAATAATTTGGTTTTCAAGGTAATTCAATTCACCATCTAAAAGTTACAATCCTTTGTTGATATGGTAAAAAATAAACTGAAGTCACGAGCTTGTCAATTCCCAAAACAACATATGCAAAATCAGGAGTCACGTTTCAACTGTGATTGTCCATCTTTGACCAATTTATAGTAGGGATCGTCTGTTTTGGCCAAATTTTAGATACAACAGATCTGTATTAATCACTTGGTTACCATCTTTTTCACTCCATTCAGATCATGGCAGCTTCAGGTTGAACCCAAGCTAGGGCTTGTGGAATGGTCTTGAGCCAGCCGAGGAAGGAGCTTCGAGAGATGTGTAACAAAGTTGAAATTTCACCTTTGATCAAACGAGGGATTTGTTTGCTGGTTGGGTTAGAGAGTGATTGTTCGGCCATGGTGGATCACATTTACAATCTTCGTCATTTTTTTGACCTTTTTACCAGGAAATTAGGCAATGTAGGCTTTCAATGCGTATGACTCGATCACTGTTGTTACCATTCAGTGTTGCCTCGGCCAGAAGCTAAAATATTTACTATTGCCTATGGCAGTTTAGTTAGGCCATTCTTCCAAAGACTAAATTGCTACAAACACACCCCAAGAACTCAATTGATCAGCTTTCAAGCTGACTCTATGAAGAAAAATAAATTATATCCTTTCCAATTCATGAATCAAAAATGCAACTCCAAATCATATTAGCGAAGACTTCGGATAAAATCAAGATGTCTCATTAAATATTGATTCTTGCTGCGAGAAGTAACACTTAACAATGGTAATTTGGATCTAAAACCAAGTCCCTACATAAACTGGCACCACAGACGAGTGGATGCAGCTCCTGCTCCCGTTCCTGGACCAACCTCAGATATTGCTACCCGCAAGACAAAAACCCAGTGCTGCCACAATTCTTGTACAGTTGTGCTCACTTCCCAAACAGTTCCAGAAAGATTATCTAAAACAAAGCAAAGGAACAGTATTGAGACCGGGAAGTCCATGGTAACTAGTAAGTATATTCCTCAACAGCTTTTTTTTTTGGATAAACAACAAAGAACTTTATTGATAAATCAAAAAGGAAAGTAAAGGAGGATGAGGCATCCTCTTACAAAGAAAAGGGAAAACACAAATCAAAAGCCTAAACAAGAAAACACAAATGCAAAAGCTTACATATCACACACTGCCAATCAATCTCTAACTAACAAAAACAGTGGGACCCCCTTAAAAAGAGGATTCCCCGAAACTCAAAAAGAAGTTAAATGGCAAACACAATCCCACAAACAATCTATCTCTCGAGATTTATCTCCAAACACCCTCGCGTTTCTTTCCAACCATAGAACCCAAAAGGTTGCAAGGACCGCACAAGACCAAAGCATTTTGGCTCTCTTCGATTCTCCAAGAATGTGAAAGTCAACTTCGAGCATATGCGCACTTCTTTGCGGGGCTACCCACATAACATTCCCCAACAAAAATAACTTGTGCCATAGAAACAAAGTTATTGGGCAATGCGAAAATAAATGATTCACGGATTCCCCATTCTTACAACACATAATGCACCACTGAGGATTTAGAGAGCAATTCGGTCTCCGTTTCTGCAATGTATCATTTGTCAAAAATGCCTCGATGAACCAAGGCTCACATAAAGACCTTCACCTTAAGAGGAGCACAAGCCTTCCAAATTCTCTTGAAAAAAGGAAATTGACAAACATGAGGAGAATCAATGAGCTCATCAAAAAAAGACTTACACGAAAATATCCCAGATGAATGGAGAGCCCAAACCCTCTTGTCCTCCAGAAGAGAAGCCAAAGAAAAATTCTCAAATCTGGACAACAAGGACGCCAACTGTGAAGCCTCCCTATCATTAAGATTTCTAGAAAAATCAAAGTTCCAGGAAATTGGAGCCAAAAGTGAACAAGCGATAGAAGCAATAGAAGAGTTATGAGATTGAGCCACTCTATAGAGTTGTGGGAAATCAGAAGCAAAAAAAGATTGGCCCATCCACACATTCTCCCAAAAACGAACAAGTTCCCCATTGCCCACCCTTACAGAAAGATGACAAGACCAACATGTGTATACATGTGAAATTGATTTCCAAGGAGCACGGCAAGTACCCCTCAGGATCACCCGAGAATCTCTACCATTGTCTTGAGTCCCATACTTGCTTCTAATAACCAAATGCCATAGTGAATCACTCTCAAGTGGAAACCTCCATAACCATTTGCCAAGAAGGGCCGTGTTCCTAGCCAAAATGTTACCAATAGCCAAACCCCCTTTTCGTTAGGCAACGAAACTAGATCCCAACTCACCAGGTGATCCTTCTTTCCCTCATCCTTGCCCTCCCAAAGAAAATCCCTCAGCAACTTTTCTAATGCCTTTGCCACCTTAACCGGTATCTTGAACAAAGAAAGGAAATAAATAGGAATACCACTCAAAACCGACTTAACCAAAGTATATCTACCCCCGCGTGAAATAAAGCCTTACTCCACCCTTCCAACCTCTTACCAATCTTCTCCACCACTGGATTTCAAAAAGCTTCACTTCTAGGATTACCCCCAAATGAGAGACCTAAATACTTAAACGGAAGTGTCTCTATACCACATCCTAAAAGAGCCGTCTTATTTCGAAGCAGGTCTTGCTGCATATTAATGCCCATCACACTACTTTTCTCCAAATTAACCTTAAGGCCGGAGATGACCCCAAACAATCTCAAAATCGAATACGCCCTATTCCAAAGCAGGTCTTGCTGCATATTAATACCCACCACACTACTTTTCTCCAAATTAACCTTAAGGCCGGAGATGACCCCAAACAAGCTCAAAATCGAATAAAGATTAACTATTTAACTTTCATCTCCTGTTGAGAAAAAAATTGTGTCACCCGCATACTGTAAATGCGTGACACAAACTCTATCCCCCCCCACCTCCAATCCCACAAAAAGACCTACTTCTGTAGCTCTATCAACCATCCTGCCGAATACATCTGCCACCAAAATAAAAAGAAAAGGAGATAGTTGGTCTCCTTGTCGTAATCCTTGCGAAGCCCTGAAACATTCCCCTGGTTTACCATTAACTAAAACAGACATATTACACGTCAACAAACATCCCCTAATCCAAGATCTCCACTGCCCACCATAACCCTTCTTGTCCATTACAAAATCCAAAAATTGCCAATCCACGTGATCATATGCCTTCTCAAAATCCACCTTAAAGATAATTCACTCATTCCCTAAACTTCTATATTCCTCCACAATTTCATTTGCCACCAAGGCTACATCTAGGATTTGTCTACCTTTCACAAAAACTCCTTACGCCATCGACACAGTCTCCCCCAATGAGAATCTGAGTCTCTTTGATAACACCTTCCCCAAAATCTTATAAAGTGATGTGACCAAACTGATGGGTCTAAAATCTCCAATTCTTACCGCATTCACTTTCTTAGGAATCAGACAAATGAATGTGGCATTTGAGCTCAAATTAACAGCCCCCGACTCATGAAATTTCGAAAAAAACACCCAACAAATCCTTTTTTACCACCTCCCAACAGTCCTGAAAGACAGCCATAGAAAAATCGTCTGGACCTGGAGCTTTGTCTCTCTTACATCAAGAGCTTTGAGATGACAATAAACTATTCCTTAAGCTTTCCAACAGGGACAGTCGAAAACAACAGTATTTTTTGCAAATCCAAATAGCGCAAAGGGTAGCA